AAATTAAACATTGCAACTTTATTATCTTTTTCTGCTGCTTTTTGATACCAATAAAAGGCATTCTCTAAATTCTTTTCTGTTCCTTCTCCATTTTCATAACATATGGCTAAACTATTCATTGCTTCAATATAATCTTTTTTTGCTGCTTTTTGATACCAATAAAAGGCTTTTTCTAAATTCTTTTTTGTTCCTTCTCCATTTTTATAACATATGGCCAAACCATTCATTGCTTTAATATGATCTTTTTCTACTGCCTTTTGATACCAATGAAAGGCTTGTTCTAGATTCTTTTCCATTCCTTCTCCATTATAATATCTATTGGCTAAATTAAACATTGCAACTTCATTACCATTTACTGCTGCTTTTTGACACCAATAAAAGGCTTTCCCTATATTCTTTTCTGTTCCTTCTCCATATTTATAACATATGGCTAAATTAAACATTGCAATTTCATTACCATTTTCTGCTGCTTTTTGATACCAATAAAAGGCTTTGACTTCATCTTTTACAATACCAATGCCATTACCATAGCAATTACCTAGATTAAATTGTGCTTCTTTAACTCCATTTTCTGCTGCTTTCTGACACCAATAAAAAGCTTTAACCTTGTTCTTTTCAATACCAATTCCTTTTTCATAGCATACACCCAAATCAAATTGTGCATCTTTAATTTCATTTTCTGCTGCTTGTTGATACCAATAAAGGGCTTTAACTTCATTTTTTTCAATACCAATTCCTTCTTTATAGCAATAACCTAACTTATTTTGTGCTTCACTAAATTCTTGCTCAGCTGCTTTTTTATACCAATAAAAAGCTTTAACTTTATTCTTTTCAATGCCAACTCCATTATAATAACAATTTCCCAAATTAAATTGTGCTTCTTTAACTCCATTTTCTGCTGCCTTCTGATACCAATAAAAGGCTTTAACTTCATCTTTTTCAATACCAATTCCATTACAATAAAAAACACCTAAATTAAATTGTGCTTCTTCAACCCCATTTTCTGCTGCTTTCTGATACCAATAAAAGGCTATTGCTTCATCCTTTTTAATACCAATTCCTTCTTCATAACAAATACCTAAATTAAATTGTGCTTTACTAAATTCTTGTTTAGCTGCTTTTTCATACCAATAAAAGGCTTTAGCTTTATCTTTTTCAGTACCGATTCCTCCTTCATAATATAAACCTAATTTAAATTGTGCATCTTTATTTTCATTTTTCGCTGCTATTTGATACCAATAAAAAGCCTCAACTTCATCCCTTTCAATACCAATTCCTTTTTCATAACAAATACCTAAGTTAAATTGTGCTTCTTTAACTCCATTTATTGCTGCTTTTTGATACCAATAAAAGGCTTTAGCGCCATCTTTTTCAATACCAATTCCATAATTGTAATAATTAGCTATTTTAAACTGAGCCTCTTTAGTTCCATATTCTGCTACTTTTTGATACCAATAAAAGGCTTTAGTTTCATCTTTTTCAATACCAATTCCTTCTTCATAATAAACACCTAAATTAAATTGTGCCTGTATAACTCCATTCTCTGCTGCTTTTTGATACCAATAAAAGGATTTAATGTCATTTTTTCCAATACCAATTCCATTAGAATAAAAAACACCTAAATTAAATTGTGCTTCTTTAACTCCATTTGTTGCTGCTTTTTGATACCAATAAAAGGCATTAGTTTCATCTTTTTCAATTCCAATTCCAATAGAATAAAAAACGCCCAAATTAAATTGTGCTTTATTATCTCCAATTTCTGCTGCTTTTTGATACCAATAAAAGGATTTAGCTTCATCTTCTTCAAAACCAATTCCATAGTTATAGATATCTAATTTAAATTGTGCCTCATTGGCTCTATCTTCTGCTGCTTTTTGATACCAATAAAAGGCTGTAGCTTCATCCCTTTCAATACCAATTCCTTTTTTATAACAAACACCTAAATTAAATTGTGCTTCTTTAACTCCATTTTCTGCTGCTTTTTGATACCAATAAAAGGCATTAGTTTCATCTTTTTCAATACCAATTCCATTAGAATATAAAACACCTAAATTAAATTGTGCTTGTTTAACTCCATTTTCTGCTGCTTTTTGATACCAATGAAAGGCTTTAACTTCATCTTTTTCAATACCAGTTCCATAATTATAACAAATACCTAATTTAAATTGAGCCTCTTTAGCTTCATTTTCTGCTACTTTTTGATACCAATAAAAAGCTTTGGTCTCATCTTTTTCAATACCAATTCCTTCTTCATAATAAATACCTAAATTAAATTGTGCATTTTTAACTCCATTTTCTGCTGCTTTTTGATACCAACAAAAGGCTTTAGCCTCATCTTTATCAATACCAATTCCATTAGAATAAAAAACACCTAAATTAAATTGTGCTTGTTTATCCCCATTTTCTGCTGCTTTTTTATACCAATGAAAGGCTTTAGCTTCATCTTTTTCAATACCAATTCCATTAGAATAAAAGGCACCTAAACTAAATTGTGCTTTTTTATTTCCATTTTCTGCTGCTTTTTGATACCAACAAAAAGCTTTAGCTTCATCTTTTTCAATACCAATTCCTTTTTCATAACAAACACCTAAATTATTTTGTGCTTTTTTATCTCCATTTTCTGCCAATTTTTGATACTGCTGAAATAATTTTATTTCATTTTTTTCACTATTAATTATATTTTCATAAAAAATATCAATTTCATTTTGCATTTTACTGCTTTTTTGTCCAGACATTTTTAATAATTTAAAGTGAACATTATGGGCGTTTATATATTAACAGTTTGTGTAATATTTATGGCATGCTGTGCTAGTCAAAAAAGTGTCACAGTTCTGATGACCAGGTCTGACAAAAGATCAGCTCAGTGCTGATAATGATCATCCGGCCCTAATAAAGATAAGCACCGAACTGACAAATTGTAGGTTGAACAAATTGTCAGAGTTGCTGATAGATCGGTGGCAGTAAGTTGATCTTTTTTTAGTCAATACAGCCAATACAGGGCTAACAGCAGGTTTTTAAGTTTAGCGTAGTTAAAAAATTTTTTAGTTTATAACTTTATTAGAAAATTTTTTGTTGAGAATTTTTTTTTCCTTTTATAAAATAAAATTTTTTGATAGAGAATTTTTTTTTAATTTAGGTAAATCTTTTCTTTGATAGAATTTCTTTGGAATTTTTTTTTAATAGAAAGATTTTTTTTTTTGATAAAAAATTTTGTTAGTGAATTTTTTTTATTGGTACGGGAATTTCATTATTAATAGAGGAACTTTTCTTGATAGATAATTTTGTTAAAGAATTTTTAATAAGGAAATTATTGGGGACTCTTCCCGCTGATTATTTGGTCCATAAATTTCAGGATGAAAAAAAAAAGGCGGAAGAGTACAAAAGCCTCTTTAGAAATCTTAAAATCCATATGTAAATCTAATCGATTTGTAAATAATTCACTTTTTTTTGCAAAAAAAAAAAAATTATAAAATATGGCCTGAATTAATCCAGTGTATTTGCAATTTCATTTTACTTAAAAAAAATCATATTTCATTTCATCTTTATTAAACTCTTCAAAATGAATTCTCTGTTGAAAGGACGAATAATCAAAAAGTACTATCTTCCCAGTTAAAAAAAAAAGAATGAGGTGTAACACATGTGACACGCAACTCACAAAGTTACTAATATTTCTTTTTGATAATACACATAATAAGGAATGAAGAAGTTGATCCTGTCATCCTGGTGATGTAGAAATATCTGCCATAATTTTTTAACTTTTTACTAGTGAAATTAAGTAAGCAACTTGTATAACATCATGCTTGTGGATTAGACTCAGTTCGATTCACAAAATTTTTTACATGTAGCTCCATTTGGCTTTAAAGTAATTTTCAATGCGCCATGAGCGCTAAAATCAGGAACTGATTTGACGTCAGATAAGCGTCTATGAAGAATTCTTAAAAAGTTTTGATAATCGATCCCAATCCTTAAGCTGATATTTTAAAAAAGTTCGTCAAAGTCACGTGGAATAATAGGAGACTACTTATCATGGCACAAATTATATCCTGGCGCGCGGCAGCACTTAGTGCATGGTAAGTAGAGGAAGGATGAGCTTTATGAACGCCTATATATAGAGTCTCGCTTGAAATTGGATCCTAGTGAAACATTCTTGGATGGTTGTATTAGGTTTGAGTTTGTATGTAGGTACTCAAGTGTAGCGATGTAGTTAGCTGTTATGTAAATCGTATGTACTGTAGGTTGTATTTATTGTGTACCTACAAGCGTATATCAGATAGAGAGGTTTTTTTACCTTTCTGTCTGATGTTAAATAAATAAAGTTCATAAAATAGTCATAACTTTGGCTATTTTGTAAGTTTTCTTAGATGACGAAGTTAGTTTTGAATTCATTTTTACTCATTTTAAAACCACCTTAAAATGATTGGCAAAATAATACAAGAGCAGTTAAATTATTCACAATATTTTGAAATCATACAGAAATAATATTATTGAGGATTCTAGAAAAGGGGATTCGAATAAATTAAAACTGAAGAGACAGAAGAGTCCATGGCATCTCATACATGAACACTATCGAAACACTAGAAACAAGATTGATGTAGAGGGTAGTGTTCCGAAAGGGTCGGGTCAAACCCGGGTTATTGACCCGACTCGTATTTAGGGGTCGGGTTTGGGTCGCATGATTTGATGACCCGTAACCCGCATGAACTCGACCCGACCCGTCGAGTCGGGTTATACCTTACTTTGACCCGACGACCCGAATCTTTTATTATAATTTTAACTAAAAATTTCAATTTTTTTATATTAAATACAACTTGACGGGTCGAACCCGGGTTATCCGAGTCAGACTATAATCGGGTCAAGTCGAATCCGAGTCGTTACTTTTACACTCGGGTCGAGTTCGAATACACCTCAAAACCCGACCCGACTCGACCCTTCGGAACACTAGTAGAGGGTATGATTCTCAGTCATTTATTTTTGAATAATAAAATACTAGAATCAGATAAAAACATTTGTTAGAAAAGTTAAAAAGTTCTTGAGCAAGAACAAAAACCAGAATACGAATTTGCCACATTTATAAATTCTTTAGAAGAATTTAAAGAAAATTCTATGATGTGTAAAAAAGTTCAAGAATGCCCGCCAGTGCATATCAGCTTATAAATGATAGCCTTTGACTTGCGTTACTGTTTACTTGAAACAAGATTGGTTGAGTCAATGGTGTGCACCGGAATATATATAGATAACGATCGGAGTTTGTAATGGTAATCGATCAAAGATAAATTTCAAAATCACCTTTCAATTTGGAATTTTACGATTCTAACGCCAACTAACGATTACTTAATGCTGGCCGAAATTATCATAGTGTGGCCAAATTTACTACGCATATGTAATTATTTGGCTTTGTTTGTCATTACTCATTAACAGTTAATGGTTAATTTGATGAGCTTTATAAGTTATAATGGCCTAATAAAACTTATAAGTGTATTTACCATAAATTAGCATTTTTATTTAAATTATGAAAGAAGTGAAAAAAATAAATATAAAAATAAAAAATAAAATAAAAGTAAAACCTAAAACTCAACGAGCATTTTTAACAGTTTATAATTAAATTAAACTTTAAATAATGGACATATAAAGATTAAAAAAAGTTGAAATACACTTGATGCAATTTAAATATTTTTTGTGCTAATATTTGCGCTTTTATCTATTACATTTCCCTGTTTGTATAATGTTGTAAGAATTTTTTGAGCATCACTATTTCCTCCTTCAGCTGCTTCTTTATATAAATTAAAGGCTTTGTCTTTATCAACATCAACTATAAATCCATGAAGATAATAATAACCAAGTTTATACTTTCCATTTATGCATCCTTTTTCGGCAGCTTGCTTAAAATAATCAAATGCTCTAATCTCATTTTTATTAACACCTTTACCTAATTCATATATTTCACCTAATTTATATAATGCAATATTATTATCATTCTCAGCTGATTTATGATACCAATGATTAACCATATTTAAATCTTTTACTAAGATTTCTTTATCTTCATAAAATGTTTTAAGAAATTCTATTGCATCACTATTTCCTATTCCAGACGCTTTATCATATAATTCAAAACCTTTTTCTTTATCAATTTTAGTTCCAATTCCATTCACATAACAATATCCTAGATGAAATTTTGCATTCACATATCCTTTTTCAACAGATTTTTCATAAGATTCAAATGCTTTAATCTCATCCTTATTTATACCTAAACCTAATTCATAACATATTCCTAAATTATCGTATGCAACTTCATCACCGTATTCTGCTGCTTTTTGTAACCAAAAAATAGCCTTTTCCAAATCCTTTTTCCCCTCTTCTATAATATATAAAAATCCAAGACTATTTTGTGCATATATATAACCTTTTTCAGCCGACATTTTATAAAATTCAAAAGATTTAAAATTATCTTTGTCAACTCCAATTCCAAATCTATAACAATAACCTAAATTATGTAGTGCTATTTCACATTCATTTTTTACAGCTATTTTATACCAATAAATAGCTTGTTTCAAATTTTTTTCTATACCATCACCATTAAAATATAAAGTTCCAAGATTACTTTGTGCAATACTATGACCTTTTTCAGCAGCCATTTTATATAATTTAAAGGCTTTTATTTTATCAACTTCAGTTCCAATTCCTTTTTCATAACAATATCCAATTTCAAATTGAGCGTCTAAATGACCTTGATCAGCTGATTTCTTATAATATTCAAATGATCTAACTTTATCTTTAATCACACCTTTACCAAATTTATAAAAATTACCTAAACAAAATTGAGCAGATTCATTTCCATTTTCTGATGCTTTTTTATACCAATAAAAGGCTTTTTCTATACTTTTTTCTGCACCTTTACCAGTTTCATATAAATTTCCTAGATGATATTGTGCTCTATTATGTTCTTTTTCAGCTGATATTAAATATAATTCAAATGCTTTCATTTTATTAACCTCTGTTCCAATTCCTATATCATAACAATTACCAAGTTCAAATTGAGCATCTAAATAATCTTGATTAGCTGATTTCTTATAATATTCAAAGGCTTTTCTCTCATCTTTTTCAATACTATCACCATATTTATATAAATTACCTAAAATATATTGAGAAAATTTATTTCCATTTTCCGCTGCTTTTTTGTACCAATAAATGGCTTTTTCTAAATCTTTTTCCACTCCAATTTCATTTTGATAACAATTACCTAATATATATTGTGCAGATGAATATTCTCGTTCAGCAGATTTAAAATAACATCCAAATGCTTTTTTATAATCTTTATTTATGCCTATTCCATTTTGATAACAAATACCTAAATTATATTGTGCACGTAAATCACCTTCGTTGGCAGCCTTTAAATACCATTCAATTGCTTTTTTTTCGTCTTTTATTACTCCAATACCATTTTGATAACAATAACCCAAATTATTTTGTGCATCAGAATTTCCACCTTCCGCTGATTTTAAATAAAATTCAAACGCTTTAACTTCATCTTTCTTTTTTCCTATCCCATATTGATAACAATAACCTAAATTATTTAATTTTACCAATTCCTTCTTTTTAATATAATCTAATTGATTTTCATTATGACATCTATCTTGTGATTCAAAATATTTTTCCATAATATTTATCTCATCTTTACATATATTAATTTCTAAACCATTAAAATTCTCAAATTGATCATAAGACATTACATGTAAATATTCTAAATGTTTAGATTCCTTTGTA